ATTACCATAGTCAAGTCATCTATCACACGGGACTCTCCCGCATCCTGCTGATTCAGTGCATCTAACTGTCCTGTTGCAGCTGAGGTGAATACATCTGTAGACAACTGCTCGGTGCCAATTTGGCCCTGTACCTCCGGTGGCTGAACCAGTTCCCGTATATCGTACCACGGGTTTATAGTGCCATCTGCCCCTGTCGGATTCTGCCCAGAATCTGTCAAATACCGGTCCTGTATCTCTGGAGTCTGCCCAGTCAGAATCAGTTCCCGTCTACCGAACCACGGGTCCACATTTGCTCGACCTTCCGTCTGGTCCATCACAAACGATGTTCGATCCGCAACCCCCACGTCCATCATACTGGACTTTCCGGGATGCTGATCATTCGCCAGATATCGGTCCAATTCCATAGTCAAGTCATCCATCACAACACTGGACGCTCCCGCATCCTGCTGAGCCGTGAAATGTTGCGTATGTAATTGTCCTGCCGCAGTTGAGGTCAACATGTCGGTAGACCACTGTCTGGCGCCAACTTGATCCTGTACCCCCGGCGGCAGTCCCCGTGCTTCTTGCCGACGGTCTACCGTGGTGGCATCAGCCCGCACCTGGTTCATCAGCGACGAATCCGCATCGTGTATGGCATGTGCTCTTCCATACGTCTGGTTCGTCCAAGCCGTATATCCTGCATCATAAAACTCGGGTCTTGTCCGAGACATTTCTACGGTCTCGTGGTCGTTTGTGGGGGGTACCGCGCCTCGCGCCAACCCCATAAACACAGTCGTCCGCAACATCACTCGGCGTCTCGCACTCCGACCACACCACGCCAGGCGCATAAGATATTTTTTTACCGCCACTCGACTGTCTTGTGGGGTATGATGTACGCGGTGCTTCGCATTAGGTCTGGAGACGCGCGCGGCGCCAATTTTAACACTTCTGTCTACGGTGTGAATACTACACTGGTGCCATTGTTACACGGGAGGGAACGAGACTTTACTCTCTCCAAATCCAGTCTAAAACCAGCCGTGCACAGCAGCAACGTGGCTCTGTCCGAGACAAAAGAAAACACAGTGATATTCATTCTTCAGAGGCAGTGGGCCGCCAAAATATCAGGGCTGTTTTGCTAATGAAATCTTGAGGCTAACCCTGTCCGTGCCAAGAAAAATCGCCACCACCAACACCCTATTTGATTATGCGCCCAGTGTGTGCACACACGTTTTTTGGATAAAAAAAGACTTATTCTTCAGCAAATAACAGCATCTCCAGCACCCCTAACAAATCCACAACATCCGTATGCGGCTCTACCTGCCACCAATACGACTGTCGTTAGTGTGGTTCCGTTCGGATTGCTCATTGGTCACAGAGTTGGACCCGTCAATATTGTGGGCCGTAGGGTGCAGGCTACGGCCGCTGGAGTCGCACTCCGGCCCGTGCAGAGGTGCCCTTACAGAACTCGCCATTTCGCTCGTCGGTAATAAATGTCGTTTCTGGGCTGGAGCGGGTGGGAGCTGAAACTGTTTGCAGAAGTCGCTGGCTCGTCCGTGGCTGAGGCCGGAGTGCTTGAGTAGGCAATCCATTAGCTGAGTGTCGGAGACCTCGGCGGCGGGGGGGATTTGCGTTCTAAACAGAGCAATGAGTTGACCGAAGGTACGGTCCCCGAGTGTCTGACGAACGAAGCGGGCGACGGGACCAAAGACGGACCAAGCGTCTTGGAGGGCGAGGGCCTTTTTGATGCTCTGCGGATCGAGCTTTTTCAATTGTATGGTTCCCCTCTTTAACCAGTGAGCGGCCCAGCATACGAGCGCCAACAGCTGTCTAGATGTTGTGGATTCGGGCAACTGGCCAAAGTCATGTGGGAATACATCCGTGTGCAGGTTGAGGCCACATGTCCAGCCACTCTCCCTGGCCACCAGCCATGGTCCGATGTGCTTTTCCAGTGACCGTCGGGCCCGTGAGGATCTCAGTACATTTGCTAGGTACGTAAGCGGGGACACACCGTCGGGTCGTGAGACCACTTGTTCTGCTGTGGTCACCAAGTGGTCGACAACACAACCGCCCAGCCGGTCTTTGATCACGCCGGCCAGATGCAGCCATCGCCAACCGCAACGGCTGAAGTCCGGGGTCATTGGCCGAAATTGTGTCAGTAAGTTGTCCAGCTTGTCCGCCGCAAACGCGGCTACCTCTCGCTTCCCCTCTTCCGACATGATCCCTTCCCGGTCCATCCACTCCTTTCCGTAACGCGCCGCCGCCCTCTGGTCTATTTCGACAGATTCCTGTATGATAGTCGTTACGAACGCTTTCAAGGCGGAATCAGCCCCCGCGTTCCAACTAAACTGGTGGTCTGTCTCAGCCGCGGTCGAAGACACGCTTGAAGGAAGGTCCACCACCACGTTTGGCTCCACCACCACGTTTGGCTCCACCACCACGTTTGGCTCCACCACCACGTTTGGCTCCGGTGACCCGGAGGCCCATTTCCTCTTCAACCTCTGAGATGATCTGGACGGCGCCACGGGCGCCCAAGTAAGTAGCCACATGGCATACTGAGAGGTCGTGAACTGAGTCCCTGGGGGAGGCGGAATGTGACTCATCCAATTCTGGATCTCTTCATCAAATCTGTTCAAACCCAAGGCTGTGCGAAAAGAGGAGACCAAAGATCTTCTCTGACGTGGGTCGTTTTCAATCGGTTTCCCAGCAGTGATAGCATCGGCTGCTTGGTGTAGCCAGAATTGAAGTTTGGATGCGATGCTTACTAGCTTGATTGCCTCTATGTCTTGCGGCAGCCGTGACAACTCGTCCGGGATGGTGTCTCTGAAAAGCGGTGAAGAAGAACTCCAGCCGTCGAGCGTAGGAAGGGCCTGTGGTGCCCACCATTTTAGGGAGTCCGCTATTCCCAGTCCGTCAATAGTACACGCTAGGAACCACGTGTCGGATATTCCAGCCGGCCTCCTCCTTTGTCGCCTCCTTAGCGCCTGCTGCGCAAGAGCTACCAGTATGTCGAACTCACTTCTTGCACCCGCCACCTTCAACCCACTACTGAACGAGTGTCTGTCACGCACAAACAGCGCCAGATTGTATGAGCGCCAAGTGCACATGTCGAACGAGACATCTTGCTTCCCCGACTCTCGTTCAAAACAAAGGAATACGTGTCTCATAAGCTCATTTGCCTCGGCTTCTTTCAACAATTCCAAAAAAACCACATCTTCAACTTGACAGTCATTCAAAACTCGGGCAGTTAAACCCTGCACGACATCACGCTGATCCTCTCCAGTTTGACGCTTTGGCGACTTGTCGACCACGAAAAGTTCGTCTGCTCCGTAGCGGTGATCTACCGTCGTCGCAGTTCCTCCTCCTTCCGTTTCGTTCATCATAAACGATGCCCAATCCAAATCCCCTGCCTCCAATATACTGGATGCTCCCGGATTCTGCTCATGCCCCGGATTCTGCTCATGCCCCGGATTCTGCTCATGCCCGCTAGCACACGGATCCCATTGCATAGTCAAGCCGTCCATTACACCCGACGCGTTCTCTTGATTCGTGATCCGCAGCGAAGGTGACTCTTCTGCCAACCAATATGTCGGCGTCACCACCGCTTGATCCTGCACCTCCACCGTGCCACCCGCTGCGGTTTCTCTACGGTTCAGATACTGGTCCCATTCCGCAGTCCAATTTTTGACACTCGAAACAACTTGATTCGCAGGCGTCGATGGGAGCACTGATG